TTTATTTTCTTTGCTGTTTGCTAGGTTTGGCTCCTTAAAAGGACTTGGTTTCACCTTGATGTTTCCTTGAAGACAATGCTCTAAATCTCTGCCAGAAGGATCATCAGTGAACAATGCAAATCCAGACTGGGCTGGCTTCCTCATTCCTGTGTCCTGGTTCAAAGTATTCAAAAATTCTTCCACTGTGGTGGATGCATCAAACCCTACTACCTAGACAGAAATAACAACGTAGTTCTCTTTTAATAAAAAATACATATGATTTTTTCACTGAGATTTCGGGTACAGCAAGGCATATTTAATGTGTGATTAATGACAACATCTATTTCTGCAGGTGCTTAAACTTTTTTTTCTAAGCTCCATTGGAGAAAATTAACAAGTCTACCTCAGTAGTCAGCTTGCTATAAGAATTCAGAAATCAGCTTCAGCCAATAGACATGAATTGAAAATAGAAAGACCATTTGACAGTTTGTAGAGATATTATGTTTACCCTTTAGAAGCAAGCCAAGAACTATAATATAACATGCAATCTTTAAGTAAATGAAAGAAAATCAATAAGAAATGTTAAATTAATGAACACTTATGTTTTTAATGTTTGTCTTTATAGTAGGCAGTCAAGTATCTGAAATCTGTGATAAAGGGCTTATGGCTGCACAGACTAATTACTAGCATCGGAATATGTTTGCGTAAGTTAATAAGTGGGCATCTAGATATGAGAATTGGGAGGGCCCCAGGAAGTTTTCTCAGATAATTAATGAGATTTAGAGATTTATAAAAAGACTAAAATTGTACACACCCAATGTTAGTAATTATTTCCACACCAAGCAGATGCACTGGTTGGGAAAAACCTCAAGTGCGGAGTTTCTTGTTTTCTCTGTCAGAATTATAATGGCAGGAAAACCCACACATTATTTGGTTCAATATGGATTTGTTTTTTACTGCTAATCCTTTTTAGCAAAACTGTTTCGAAACTCAGCTGTTTTGATAGAAGGCTGAATACATTTTCATGTTTATCTCTGCTGACAGAGGTAGGCAGACAGTCTTACTCCCTTATTCCACAGAAGTTGCACCCTAGGATTCTTAAGTAAGTATGTTTTCATTAAGGTACAGACACTAACCTACCTGATAGATCCCGTTCATGAAGTGCACCGGTATACTGAAGGGCAATGAATGATGATAAGGATTCCTAAGAAGTGTTGAAAGAATTTCCATTCTTGAGGGTCTTGCTTCTCGGTCTCCATTCTGTTGTGTTCTTTCCACACATCGCTGGCAGTAAATGGCATATTTTCCAAATTCTGTCCTATAATACAAAACTTAAGATAAAATCTAAAAATAAATTTAATTGACAACCTAATATATGCAACCATCAAGAATGCTTCCTTTGTACGTTATTACAATGTATTATGCTACTTTTAATCATAAATTTTCTTTTTTTTTTTTTTTTTTGAGACAGAGCCTCAAGCTGTCCCCCTGGTAGAGTGCCATGGCTTCACTGCTCACAGCAACCTCCAACTCCTGGGCTCAAGCGAGTCTCCTGCCTCAGCCTCCCAAGTAGCTGGGACCACAGGTGCCCACCACAACGCCCGGCTATTTTTTGGTTGCAGCCATTATTGTTGTTTGGCGGGCCTGGGCTGGGGATTCGAACCCGCCACCTTAGGTGTATGTGGCTGGCACCTTAGCCACTTGAGCCACAGGCGCCGAGCCAAATTTTCTTTTTGAATGATAATATTAAACTACTGCAACTTTTCTCAAATTCCAATTTCTTTACTTTTGCAACTGACTGACTCAAACATACCCACAAAGAATTCTTCATGTATTTTACATTATTTTAATCACAAACTGCACTGGAAATTACCAGTCATATATAGTCAACATGTAGTGATTTCATATCAATGAATATAAAGAAAATAATTGTATGAATAATATAGAGTAACTAAAAAAAAACATGATACAACAGAGTTTTATTTTGAAGAACATGGAATGTAATACTTGACTACTAAATAAGGTAAGAAAATGTCTTCAAATAAAAATAAAAATAAAATATTTTCCTTCTTTACCAGATAAAACACTGCTGAGCATTTTTAGTGTGGGTATGGAGGCTCACATCTATAATCCTAGCACTCTGGCAGGCTGAGGCAAGAGGACCACCTGAGCTCAGGAGTTTGGGACCAGTCTGAGCAAGAATGAAACCCTGTCTCTATTAAAAATAGAAAAGTTAGACTGGACTTCATGGCAGGCATGTGTAACCCCAGCTACTGAGGAGGCTAAGGCAAGAGGATCCCTTAAACCCACAAGTTTGAGGTTGCTATGACTGACACCATGCACTCTAGCCCAGGCAAGAGAATGAGCCGGGCGTGGTGGCTCATGCCCGTAATCTAACACTTTGGGAGGCTGAAGTGGAGAGACTGCTTGAGCTCAGGAGTTCGAGACCAGCCTGAGCAAGATGAGACCTTGTCTCTTAAAAAACAGCCGAGTGTTGCCGTGGGAGCCTGTAGTCCCAGCTGCTTGGGAGGCTGAGGCAAGAGGATCTCTTGAGCCCAAGAGTTGGAGGTTGCTATGAGTATGATGCCATGGCACTCTACCCAGGGTGACAGAATAAAACTCTGTCTTAAAAAAAACAAAAACAAGACAAAACAAAACAAGAAGTTAAGAATTAAAACTGAGTAAATAAATGTAAAAGCTGGATAAAATCTTTCTTTGCCCTCTTTTGTTGTAATCTTTATTCTGTTTATAAAAGCAAACTAATATATTTGTACTCAAGTACCTTGCAGGCAGACTCGAAAATGTTAACCTTTATCTGGGGGCTCCTCAGTGACTGCCGCTGAAATCACATGACCTTGATACAGAAGCCCAAAAATGAAGATGCATTTTGCATAACAGCAGGACCTTTTCCCATTGCTGCCAAGATTTTTTCTGCTTGTTTGTTTCTTTCACCGTGTTTGTTTGTTTTAGTCCCAGAATGTAATTAACCAACCTAACACATTGCTCTTGGGTGGATAAAATGATCCTGAATAAGTCTTGGTTGAGAGCCCTTGGTCCCACAGAAAGAAAGCCATTTTGAAAATCGGATTTTAAATGTCTTTTTCAAGGGAGTAAGAATTCTGAAGTAATTCACATACCTATAATTATAAAAAGAGGGAAGACCACACAGGAAGTTTTCCACATAAAAAGAAGTCAATGTGGAGAAAAACAGTAAAAGGGGAAACTAAGGAAATAAGTTGTTGCTTTTATTGAATCAACACTCACCAGTGCCGAGTCATTCATACTTGAAATGCATATAGACTTTTCACTTGAAACTATTGTCAGTTTCTCAAGCTTTTACTGTAATCTCCCTTAAGAGATTTAACATTACAGAGAAAATATTTTCTAAGCTCCACATAAATAATAACCAAAGGCTTCCTGTACCAACATTTCTTCCACACATTCTCTGAAAATGTAGCAGGTTACTAAATACTTATGATTTATTGTAGACTTTCCGAGGCCACATAAGCGGTTCAGCTGATTAGTTTTCTGCACACCTGGAATCTGCGTTCATCTTTAGGTGCAGCCTGAGAAGCCACAGGAAAGGATGATGGGGAAGGAAGAGCCCGACACAGAGAGCCAAGAGCTGCCAGCCCTGGGCAGAGAGAAACACCACAGGTGAGAGACCGCACGCCAGTCCGACTTCCAGGATGAGTGTGATGGACAGAGGCTGGCGGAGCAAGGGGCTGAGATGGCCTCTCTTGACTCCAAAAATGTTTTGTTTCTTCTACACATACATTATCTGTTTAGACCATTAATAATATATTAAACCCATAAAAACATGACCTTGGGTCAGATCCATTATCCATCTAGTTGTGTATATGACTGTCTAGGATTGAAATAGGAAACACAAGTAGATATGTTGGCCCCTTTTAATACCACACTTAAAGATTAGAGATGTGTTTCCTTTTTGTTCATTCATGCATCTACTCATTCATTAAAATGTAAGTAACAATTTTAAGAAAGGCAGATTTCAAAATAGTAAAATCCCATATGTCCCAAACCAAAACCTACCTACCCACACACACATGCACACACATATGTAGTATGTACATAAATACATACACATAAATAAGGGACAAGTATGAAAATATTAACAGAAGTTACACAGGATTATATGTGATTTTTATTTTTCCTTTCTCTGTTGTATATTCTTCTTTTTACATTATTATTGTCATTAAGCAAGTATAACTTCATTTTAAAATGCTGTATTAAAAAGCATGTAGGGGCTCGGTGCCTGTAGCTCAACTGGCTAAGGTGCAAGCCACAGAGCTGTCAGGTTCGAATCCAGCCTGGGCCTGCCAAACAACAATGACAACTACAACCAAAACACAGGCGGGCGTTGTGGTGAGCACCTGTAGTCCCAGCTACTTGGGAGGCTGAGGCAAGAGAATCGCTTAAGCCCAGGAGTTTAAGGTTGCTGTGAGCTGTGATGCCATGGCACTCTACCCAGGGTGACAGCTTGAGGCTCTGTCTCAAAAAAATAAAAAATAAACAAATAAAAAGCATGTAGGGAGTAGGCACTGATCCTGCCCTTGAAGAGCCTGCAGTCAGGTGGTGCCTGTGGCTCAAAGGAGTAGGGCGCTGACCCGATAAGCCAGAGGTGGTGGGTTCAAACCAGCCCCCACCAAAAACCTCGAAGAACCTACAGTCTAGTAGAGGACAGTTGTATATTAAAAGATTAAATTATAATACAACATAGTTATACCATGTATCAAAAGTTTTAAAGTATAACCAAACACTTGGAATGTGGTACTCGGGCTGGAATGTAAAGTTTACATGTGGGAAGGAGAAAGGGGCACCCAGGGAAGAGGAATCCTACAAGGTGCAGAGTACTGCAAAGGCAGGGTATGCTTAAATGGGAGAGTTTATTCATTCATTGCATGCTAGAGGCAGGTAGTAGAGAAAGAGGAGGCCAGTATAGCCAGATAATGACATGATCTTGATGCATATAACACCTAAGCTTCAGAATCCTCTTGGGTACAGGCCCCTGAGAAGGGCCCTATCAACTGTGTTTACATGGTCCTATGTTTATTAAAATGTGCAAAAGTAATAGATGTTATACTCTTTTTGTTAAATAACATTTCCCAAATTATAGAAGCTTCAAGTCCTACAAAATCTGGATCCAGGCTCGGCGCCTGTGACTCATGTGGCTAGGGCGCCAGCCACATACACCTGAGCTGGCGGGTTTGAATCCAGCCTGGGCCAGCCACACAACAACAGCTGCAACCAAAAAATAGCCGGGCATTGTGGCGGGTGCCTGTGGTCCCAGCTACTTGGGAGGCTCAAGCAGGAGACTCGTTTGAGCCCAAGAGTTGGAGGTTGCTGTGAGCTGTGATGCCACAGCACTCTACCCAGGGGGACAGCTTGAGGCTCTCTGTCAAAAAAAAAAAAATCCAAGAGAGTTCTGTATGCTAGGTTAAGAAATTCCTGACTTAGCCTGTGGTTAACAAGGAAGTCAAGTAAGCAAAGATAAAATAGATATTAATTAAAAAGTAAACACATATGACCATAAAACACCTGAAAAATATATTCAAATACACTAACAATTAAACAAATGCATCCTAAATCAAAAGTGAAAATATCGGTTTTACTTGGAAAGAATTGAGAATTACACTGGATATTGCTGAAGATAAAGGAGAATTCTAGCAATGGATTCAAAAGAAGTCACTGGACCTCTACACAAGATTTAGGTTCAAAGATGTTTACTATATAGGTTTTTATTATAGAAAGATTGAGAGGCTCGGCGCCTGTAGCTCAAGTGGCTAGAGTGCCAGCCACATACACCAGAGCTGGTAGTTCGAATCCAGCCCAGCCTTACCAAACAACAATGACAGCTACAACCAAAAAATAGCTGGGCATTGTGGCAGGTGCCTATAGTCCCAGCTACTTGGGAGGCTGAGGCAAGAAAAATCGCTTAAGCCCAAGAGTTTGAGGTTGCTGTGAGCTGTGACACTATGGTACTCTATCCAGGGTGACATAGTGAGACTTTGTCTTAAAAAAAAAAAATTTGAGAAATCTCAAATACATAGTAATGTAACCGTTAATGTTTTGAAGAAGATACAGGGGAAATTATTATGTTCCATAGTTTTAAAAAGAAGTATGCACACTGTAACTCCAGTACTATGAAAAACTGTTTGAGTGTGAACATACTTACACACATTTACACTTATATATGAACATATAAATAAATCAAAATAATACACATTAAAATATTAATAGCTATTTTTCCTCGTTTACTTTTTGTATTTTTCCAAGTATCTATACTAAACGTGTATCATTCTTGCAATCAGAAAAGAACATCACTTTACATTGCATGTATATGTATCAATAAGTACCTGCAATGGTCCTGGTTGACTTTGTGGCTGTCTTCGCCTTGTCTGTTTAATAAGCTGACAGCAAATTTCATTCTGTAGCTCAGGATGTGTCAGACAGATTTGCAAAGCACTCTGGGCTAGAGATATGTGGTAATCAATCGCAGGGGAGTCAACTGCAGCATTTATAAAAAGTTGGCAGGTCTAAATTAAACAAAAAAATGATATACTCAAAGTGAGGAATGATTAGATTTGTTCTACATGAATGAGATTGATTTTCTTTTCCACAATGGTTTTTGTTTAAAATGATGGGGAAAGATATATTATGATAACACTAATCAAAAGAAATCTGGAGTGGCTATACTATTATAGCAGACAAGGCAGATTTCAGAGCAAAGAATTCTGCCAGAGATTAAAGAGGGTCATTTTATAATGATAAAGAGGTCAGTTCATCTAGAGGATATAACAATCCTAAACATTCTTATACTTAATAACAGAACTTCAAAATACATGTTAGTCTTATCCAGTATACTTTTCATTTTAGCCATTGCATTTTTCATCTCTAACTCTTCCATTTGGATCTTTAAATATCTTCTATTACTCTCCTTGAAATGTTCTTATTTTCTTCTACTTTCCTGAACATATGAACCATGGCAGCCAACCTCCAAAATTGCTTCCAGTTTTTTCCACCTCTTAATAATCAGACACTTAGGTAATCCCCTTCCATATCATACCAGTCTTGGTCTGTGTAACTGGTAGAATTTGGCATGCCATTCTGAAATTCAGTTACAAAAAACAATGTGGCTTCCACCTTGGCCACGCTCTCTCTTTCAGTCTTATATCATTTGCTCTGGAGTAAGGCAGCTGCCATGTTTTGAGTTGCTCATATGGGGAGGCCCGTGTAGTGAGGAACTGCGGCTTCTTGACAACAGCTGCATGAGAGAGCCTGAAGGACTTCAGACCATCAAATCTTCAGACAACTCCTGTCCCACTGACTGCATGACAGTAACTATATGACACTCTGAGCCAAGTCCACCCAAATAAAGTGCTTCCACATTCTCCACCATCTAAAACAAAATGTTTGTTGATATAACCCACTAAGTGTGTTGGAAAAAATTTTAATGTAATAATAATAATACACAGAAATGTCCTTGTTTACCATCATTTGTATTATCTATCTATCTATCTATATCTATAGATTTTTTTTTTGAGACAGATTCTCACTATGTTGCCCTCAGTAGAGTGCCATGGTATCACAGTTCACAGCAACCTCAAACTCTTGGGCTTGAGTAATCCTCTTGCCTCAGCTTCCTGAGTAGCTGGGACTATAAGTATGTGCCACTACACCCGGCTAGTTTTTCTATTTTTACTAGAGATGGGGGTCTTGCTTTTGCTCAGGCTGGTCTCCAACTCCTGACCTCAAGCAATCCACCCAGCTTGGCTTCCCAGAGGGCTAGGATTATAGGTGTGAGCCACTTTGTCCAACAACATTGTAAATTTTATATTGTTGGACAGTGGATTTTTTTTGTGATCTTTAAATAATAATAATGCTGAAATTCATATAATTGATAGTTTCATTGAAAGATTAAAGCATAATAATGCAGAATATCCTTGTTTTGTTCTTCACTTTAGTGGAAATACTTCTAATGTTTCTCCAAAAAGCATGATACCCGCTTTTAGCTAAGATAGGAATGTGTTATCATGTTAAGGAAGTATCTATCTATTGCTATGTTATGAATGTTGTATTTGTCAAATGTCTTTTCAGGCTCGATGCCTGTGGCTCAAGCGGCTAAGGTGCCAGCCACATACACCTAAGGTGGCAGGTTCGAATCCAGCCCGGACCCGCCAAACAACAATGACGGCTGCAACCAAAAAATAGCCAGGCGTTGTGGTGGGCGCCTGTGGTCCCAGCTACTTGGGAGGCCGAGGCAGGAGACTCGCTTGAGCCCAGGAGTTGGAGGTTGCTGTGAGCTGTGAAGCCACGGCACTCTACCCAGGGGGATAGCTTGAGGCTCTGTCTCAAAAAAAAAAAAAAAATGTCTTTTCAGCATCTATAGAGATGATTAGTAAATAATAAGTAGTATTAATAGATATCCTAATATTTAGCCATATCCTTGATTTCCTGGAATAAATCTTAGTCATGATTTAATATTCTTTTTTCTCATTTTTAAAATTTTATTAATACATAATAATTAAATATATTTATGGGGTACATAAGTGCATAAAATATGTATGATCAAATCAAATAAACTGTGATATCCATAACCTCAAACATTTATTATTTCTTTGTGCTGGTGCTGGGAATATTATTTTTTTTGAGACGTTTTTGTCCATTGATAAATGGAAATAAGTTGAGTATGTGTCTTGACTATTATGAAAAGTGCAATGACATCTCTTCAATATATAGCTTTTCTTTCTTTTTGATAAATACCCAGCAGGGGGACTGCTGGGTCACATGGTAGTTCTATTTTTAATTTTTCAGGAACCGCCATGCTGTTTTCCAGAGTTGTGCTAATTTACATTCCCAGCAACAGTTTACGAGTGTTCCCCCTTTTTCTGCATCCTCACCAGCATCTGTTATTTTCTGTCTTTTTGATAATAGCCATTTTAACTGGGGTGAGATGATATCTCATTGTGGTTTTGATTTCCATTCCCTGATGATTAGTAATACTCAGCATTTTTTTTTTAATGTACCTGTTGGCCATTTTCTTTTTTTTTTTTTTTGAAACAGCCTCAAGCTGTTGCCCTGGGTAGAGTGCCGTAGCCTCACAGCTCACAGCAACCTCCAACTCCTGGGCTCAAGCAAGTCTCCTGTCTCCACCTCCCAAGTAGCTGGGACCACAGGCGCCCACCACAATGCCCGGCTATTTTTTGATTGCAGCCGTCATTGTTGTTTGGGGGGCTGGGGCTGGATTTGAACCCACCAGCTCAGGTGTATGTGGCTGGCACCTTAGCCGCTTGAGCCACAGATGCCAAGCCCTGTTGGCCATTTGTATATATATATTTTTGAAATGACTATTCAGATTCTTTTGCCCATTTTTAAATTGGATTATTGTTTAAGGAGTTGGAGTGATTTAATATTCTGTTACTATGATGCTGGATTCTGATTGCTAATATTTAATTATTTTGCATGAAATGCTCTCTTATTCTATACTATATGCTGGGGTTTGGTATCTAATAATCACTTCACAAAGTTCACAAAGAAAATATGTGAGATGGTGATTGAGGATTACTTCAAAATCATTCACGGTCAGGGAGTAGTGGAGATGGCAGAATAAAATAAGACAGGACATGTGTTGCTGACTGTGGATCTGGGTGATGGGCATCACAGACTTTATTATAATATTCTTTCTATCCTTACATATGCTGGAAATTTTCCACAATAAAAAGTAAAAGAAAAAAAATAGATTTTGAAAAATTTCTTTCTTTTCTACACTTTGGGATAATTTAAATAGTCCTTAAATTATCTATACATGAAGTTTTATAGATTCTTCGTTTAGATTTTTATTTTCTTGTGGAATCAGTTTTGGCCATTTTCTTATACAATTAATCACTTCATCCAGATTTTCAAATATATTTGCATACTCTTTCTTGCTTTGAGTATTTGTGCATTCTGCAGATGGATTTAAAAAAAAAATTCTACTATAGACTTTTAAAGTGAACAAAAGGAGAACAGCTTAATGATCTCCCAGGTGCCCATCACCCAGAGTCAATAATAATCAGCATTTTGCCAAACTTGTTCCACTCCCCACCTCTATTTTTTTTCTAGGGTCTTTTAAATATATATCATATTACTTTACCAATAAATACTTCAGGATAGATCTCCAATTGATAAACTTTTTCCACAGCCATTGTGCCATCACCATAACATGGCAAATTAATAATAATTCCATAACAATATCTAATAAACAAGTGATTATTTGAGATTAGAGAAATGTAGAGAAGCAGCCAAAAAAAAAGAGAGAATGAGGCTGTAAGAAGACTAGAGGGAAAAGAATGACTGAAACCGAAACCCCCAGAAGGTACCATGTTCTGAGAGAAGGAGTGGAGGAGAAAACAGATGAAGGGGAGCTATTCGAGGTAATCATGTCTGATGTCCTCTAATTTCTCAACGTAATAGAAGGCAAGTTTCTTGTTATAACACTGAGTAGGAAATTTGAGGAGGATGTGACCAAAGACAATCAAAGAAACAGAAAGGTGTCCAAAGGAATGAAGAGCATGGATTTATATTGGTTCCAGCCTACGTGGCTGTCTGGTGCTCTGCAGCAGCGGGCACTGGTTACCCTGGGAGCAGACAACACAGCACTGATCTCCTTGGGATCTGGGTCCCCGGGAACTATCAGAGTAGACCAGACTGCATAGGAAGGAAGAAAAGCCACGAGAAAGTTATGATCTCAGAGACAAAAAGTAGAAGAGTAATAACAACAACAATAATAATAATAAAAGAGCTACGATTATGGTTAGGATTATGGTTAAAGAAGGCTAGGATTATGGTTAAAGAAAGAGATATTATATTAAGAGCATTTAAACCTTTACAGGAGGCATATGTGTAAGGGGTGGTGAAGTCAGTTGTGGACATGGAGAATGGGAAGATGAAGTAGACCAGAGGTGAAGCTTATTGAAATTAAGTTAAAGGTCAAGAATCTTAAAATTATGGCATTGATGAGAAAGTGATAATAAAGTCATTTGCATGATTTGAAGGAGAGGGAAAGAATGTGACTTGGAGCCAAAATCCTTAATGACATTTGAGGAGTTACTAGAAGGTAAATGATGAGAGAGATGGGGGATAAAGACTGATACAGATGGGGTGGTGCCTGTGGCTCAAAGGAGTAGGGCGCCAGCCCCATAGGCCAGAGGTGGTGGGTTCAAACCCAGCCCCAGCCAAAAACAGCAACAACAACAACAAAAAAAGTGATACAGATGAATGACAAGTTTCAAGTGATTAGGGATTTCTAATAGAGGTTGAGAGATAAGAATTTAAGAGTAGCCCCAGAGAGGGAAGAGCACTCACCCCTTTCCCAATGCTGAGTTCGGCATGATATGAAAAATCTTTCCACTTGAGAGGTTAAAGGGGAAACGATTCTCTAAAACCAAGTATTTTATACTATCCAAACCATACAGATCTTATTTCAGTAAATTCCAAGTCCTCACTCAGAAAATATATATTAATAAAGTTCACCTAGTTTTATTTCAATAGATTTTCTTAATAATCATCACATTTTGAATTTTCTTGGAAAAGAGTAAAACTTTGTAACCCAAATTATTACTTTTTCCCACCTAAATTAAATTACTTAACTCTATATAACTATTTTACCTTAAATAGTTTAATAGCTTCTGTCTGCAGAGCTTCAGAAGGCAGTGTTGTCAGAGGGGAAATGATTCCTTCTTTGCTGTGACACAAAGTAGGGTGTCTCCATATCTGAGAGGCTAAATATAGAATAAAACATGAATAGAAAACTCAACAAATCATTTACTGGCCTCCCATTAAATTAACCCTTTAGGATTTAAAAATAGCTCATTTAGGCTTGGTGTACTTCAAGTCGCACAGGCCAGGAGAAACCTTTGGCAACATCTTCTTATTTTGGTTACCAGGCCATTGGGATAATCATGCTCGGTTTTGGATAATCTAGAAGAGTTGGCTCCTAATTTACTAGGCTGCACCAACATATTATTTAAAAGTGGCAGCCTAGGTAGGGAGACGACTCTACACGAGGAGGAGCTGAGGAAAGATCTAGAGAGGAGAAGAAGAAGAGGAAATAAAAAGATAAGGGTGAACTTGAAATCATTTCTAAAGTCAACATTTACTAAATACCTGTGTTGGACATTGCAACTAAAATGTGGTCTCTGTTAGTATGTAAGGTATATGATAGAACCTAGACTCTCAATGCAGAAATATTACCCATAAAAAATTAATTTCAATGCTAAGCTACAAATGCTCTCAAAGAGTTAAGTGGCAAAGTGCATTAGGACATAATTTTAACATTGATTAAGCTCCTTTTAAAGCCAGATGCTGAGCTGGAGTGGGCTGGCTGGGTTTTAGCCAGCTACATCCTGTAAGGCTACATAGGGTTTTAGCATGTTGGTGAGAATACCAAGGAAGGGAGCATTCCAAGTGGAGGAACAATGTGAGCAAACACAGGGGGATCTGATAAGACACAGCATAGTAGGGAGTGACAGTGTCCTTGGAGCCAAAGAACCACAGTGAGAATGGGGGCCCATGATAAGCAAAGGCAATGACAAGGTAGACGTGTTGCAGGGAAACAAGAAACCACAAAGTGAAAAGTCCATTAGGCTACAGTCCAATTCATAAACCATAGAGCCTTATATGTTCATGAACTTACAAGGTTCCCCTTCTATATTTAGCAATTTGCAAACAAGTTGTTCAAATTCAGATCCAACACTGACATTGTTACTTCCAGCGGCGACAGTCAGATGATAAAGCCAAGTGTCCTTAAAATCAGAACATATCAATAGAAATGTTAACCAAAATACAGTTTTGATTACCTAAAAAAAAAACCCCAAACTTACATAAACAGTAGAAAACTTTTAGATGGAATCAGAACTACTTTCTTTAATTTTTAAGTAATAACTAAAAACCATTTAGTCAAATAGTTCAGAGGCAGGCTCACTTGAATTGTGCTCATATTACATTTTCCCATTATTCACATTTTTTTAATTCTCTATAGATGCTTCTTAGAAAAAGCATGACAACATTTAGGAAAGTGATACAGGTTAAGAGACTAGAATGAACAACCTAACTAATATTCTTTTAAGAAATACAATGGATTCTGTCAAATTTAAAATGCGACTCTCAGAGTAAGACATACAGAATACTTTGGAAATCCAGAAAATTTAAAGAAGAAAATAATACCCTCCCCCATTCAAATAATACCCCCCATTCTTCAAAGATAACTACTGATCTTTTTTCCCTCTAGGAAAATATATATATGTAGATTAAATTTTCTTTTTTTTTTTTAGAGACAGAAAAAAAAGGGGCTCACTTTGTTGCCCTCAGTACAGTGCTGTGGCATCACAGCTCACAGCAACCTCCAGCTTGTGGGCTTAGGCGATTCTCTTGGGTGCCTGCCACAACGCTTGGCTATTTTTTTGTTGCAGTTTGGTGAGGGCTAGGTTTGAACCTGCCACCCTCGGTATATGGGGCCTGCACCTACTCACTGAACCAGAGGCACCGCCCATAGATTAAATTTTTACATAGTTGAATTATACTAAATATAGAAGATTATAATTTCTGGATGTTACTAATAGCATATGAACACTCTTTTGCTGCTAAAAATTCTTTACAGACAAGTTTTAATGGTAACAGGATATTCTATTACATATATGGACATATCATATTTATTTAGTCAACTCTCTACTGATGAACACCTAGATGGTTACTAATTTCTCACTGATAAAATATATTATGACAGTTAACATATGTTAACCACAAAGGACATATTTTCTGTGTTTGAAATATTTAAGAAATCTATTTTTTAAATAATATTGTATCTGATTAACTTATACATAAATCTTTAGCTGCATTTATGGTCACTTCCTTAGCATATAGTTTTTGAAACAGAATTATGGAGTTTTTAGGGACTCTTATTTATTTTTTGAGACAGAGTTGCACTTTGACGCCCTTGGTAGAGGGCCATGGTGTCAGCTCACAGCAACCTCAAACTCTTGGGCTCAAGTGATTCTCTTTCTTCAGCCTCCCGAGTAGTTGGAACTACAAGGACCCACTAGAAATAGTTTTCTCTATTTTTAGTGGAGACTCTTGATCAGGCTGGTCTTGAATTCCTGAGCTGAAACAATCCACCTGCCTTGGCCTCCCAGAGTTCTAGGATTACAGGCGTGAGTCACCATGCCCGGCCTTAGGAACTCCTGAAACACACTTTCAAAGTGTTTTCCAAAGTGTTTATACCAATTTACACTCCCACTCGTGGTGTATTAGGGTGCTTCCTCACAATAATTTCATTAGCATAATTTTTATATGTTTGGCAATCTGAGATAGTAAAAGCTTTACCATTTTTAAAATTTGCATATCTTTTATTAGAGTTGAGTCCCAAGCACTATTTTTTTTCCAGTGACCTCTGAACTCTTTATTGGTATAAGGGCACACTGCTCTACTGCCTCAGTGTCTCAGAACTTTGGTGTCGTTGGTCTCAGACACCACTTTGCCTTCCGCTATCCTGTGGGCAGTGGTCTTTTGGATGGTTTGCATGGAGTTGCTGCTGTCCAGGGCATCACCAAGGTTGAAGTCCTCCCCGTCTTCCAGTAGGTGGCAGTAGGTGGTGATCTCAGCCTCTAGCTTGACCTTGATGTTCAGCAGTGCCTCATACTCCTGGGCCTAGTGCTGCCCCTCTGCCCAGGTCTGTGCCAGCTCTGACTCCAAATGCAGCAGGACCCCATTGAGTTGCTCCATCTGCATGGTGTAGTGGGCCTCCACCTCCCTCAGGCTGTCCTCCAACCTGGACTTCTGATTTCTCATGGAGACCGGTTCGATCTCAAGGACTGGACTGTATGCATCAGCTCTGTGAGCACTGTCTTAGCAGTTCTGATCTCAGCAAACTGAGGTGACCACTGAGGTGTTCTCCTCAATCTTCTGGGACCAGGTCTTGGCCAGCTCTTCTTGGTTCTTCCAAGCCAGCTTGTCATACTGGGCCCGCATGTCTGCCATGACCTTGCTCAGGTCCTGGGATTTGGGAGCATCTACCTCCACAGTCAACCCAGAGCTGCAATCTGGGCTTGTAGAACTTTTACTTCCTCCTCGTGGTTCTTCTTCATGAAGAGGAGCTCCTCCTTGAGAGCCTTCAGTGTCAAGTGATATTGGTGTCATCAATGACCTTGCAGAGCCCATGGATATCGCTCTCCACAGATTGGCGCATGGCCATTTCTGTCTCATACTTGACTCTAAAGTCATCAGCAGCAAGACGGGCATTGTCAATCTGCAGAATGATGCAGGCATTGTCCACAGAATTGGCAAAGACCTGAGCCCTCAGGTCCTCTATGGTCTTGAAGTAATGCACTCAGTCTCTGACCTGGGGCCCCTTCTTCTCCAGGTGTTCCCAGATTTTGCTCCCCAGCCTCCAATTATCAGTCTCCAGGTTCCTCACTCTGTCCAGGTAGGAGGCCAGGTGGTCATTCAGTTCTTATATGGTCTCCTTCTCAGTGTGGATGCCCCCTACTCCTGCGAGACCCCCGACCATCCCCATGGCCAGGCCCCTGGACTCCCAGCTGCCCCAGAAGCTGATGGAGCGGAACTTGGAGATCCTGGAGCCCAAGCCCCTGGCGCCTGCATAGACGCTGGCTGTGTTGCTGGCAGGCCAGACACTGTAGTTAGGCGCCTGGACTGAGCCCAGGGACCGGTAATTGCTGGAGAAGGTGGTAGAATGAGTAGTGAAGGACATGATGTCTGAAGAGGAGAGGACAAGACTCAGGCTGAGTCCAAGCACTAATTAGCCTCCACAGTAAGTTTTTCAGTGGGGAAGAGGAGTTGTACTCAGTGCTTGGCCTGAAACATGTGCTCAAAGCCAATTATCAATATTAACAGTCATAATCTATGAGAGTTGTTTATATTATCAAAGATAGAATAGCCATCCATGAAATATTCTGGGTTTTATATTTTCTCTTTAGTTATATTTATGATCTTATCTGATATAAAGAAGTTTAAAAAATATTTAAATCTTTTGTAATCAAATCTATCAACCATTTGCACTGTGATTGCTCACATTGCCTTTTTTTTCTCAGAAAGTACTTTATATTCAGAGATCAGATAGAGGTCTTTTAAAGAAACAATTTCA